AAAGATAAAAAAAAAAATATATATATATATATATATATATATATATATATATATATATATATATATATATATGTGACAAACACATTTACAAAAATTCTAGACAGTGAATATGGAACTGAACTGAACAACTAGTTGTTAATTATGTATTTATATGCATATCAGAGTTGTGCCTTTCTTCTGTATGCTTAATAGGCATCGCCTATAAAAAGTGGACATGGAAACACTTCAAGAGTGTGCTCTGCGAAACAATACTGCCATATAAACAAACAACCCATAGCATGATGTTATAGGAGCTTAAAGACAGTTTCAAACTTCCTCTTGAATACTTCCTTCAGCCTTGAGGTCATTCTACTCGAGTCACTGTCCTACAGAGAACATAGAGAGAGGGGAAACAAAGTAGACCTTAATATATAAAAATAGGATGGCAAAAGAAAAAGGTTAAGACTCTTGTCTTTGGTAAAAGTTGCATAAGGTTAAAATTAAACTCACTTCACTGGAAGTGCAACAGTTGTTGAAAATCAGTTCAATATCCGTGACAAACTCTTGCACTGTTTGATAATCATTATTCTCCAAGTTCAGCTTCACTCTGCCCAGCATCATGGGACCACAAATGTTCCCACTGAATCCTGGAACCTAGACACCAGCAGTTCAGATGTCACATACTGTACATATACACCACATATAAGAGCTGTAAATATTGACCAAGAGCCAGATGAAGCTCCTAAATATGAGATTTACTTTGGCACAGGGGTCGGTCATGCTCTCGTGTAGCAGGTGTAACAGCAGGTACTGGCAGTGCTAGAAGAGAATCAAACAGACCGTAACTGTTAAAGGATTTTTGTCTATAAAATGAAAGAAATGTCGTTTTGGACCCCATTTACTTCCATTGTATGGGCTAAACAATTGCATAAACTTTACCAGTGTGTATTGAGAGACTGGAATGCTCAAAATATCCTGTTGGGTCTTTTGATTGGAACTTTTCATCTTCTTCATCACACAAAATGTGCAGCTCCACTGGCTTCTGTGCACACAAAACACACACTATTACACAAAGTCAAATGTCTAGTCTGTCTAATCCAGCATGATTTCTCTCTCTCTCACCCAGGTGAGTCTTCACGTACAGCTGGTAGGTGACAGTGTGAATGAAAAGCTCGTGGACACTCATCACAACACACGAGATCTCCCTCAGAGTCACACACGAAACACACGTCATCATTCTGCTGGGACAAGAGTTCACAGAGGACGTTTAGTTGTCATGCTGGTCTGCTGATGTGGCTGTGATTGTAAGTGATGGTGTCTTACTAGGTATTGTTCCAGGTCTTTACAGATCTTACAATCGCAGTTTATCATATGCAGTTCCAAAACACTTTTCTGAAAAGCATGTGTGAACGAAGCGTCAAATTATTTCAAAGAGTTTAAAATGTGCGTTTAAAATGTAAAAAAAAAAAAAAACAAGAATTAAACTTCAAATTCTCAAGTCAGTAAAGTCGATCACTAAATAAGAGTACAACTTTGAGGAACACATAGCATGTACTATATACATGTGTAACAATGTAATACTAATCAATGCCTACACAGAAGAAAGCCATGCCTATGTGCTGCCCCAGTATGGTTTGTGTCAAGCCATTCGTTAGTCAGGTTGACTGATAGAAAGATAAGAAAGGTAGAAAGTATATATTTTTTTTTAACACCGTTTTCATTTTTTACCATTATGAGTTTCCCCAGAGGTTCCCCATTGGATAAAATGTCTTTTCTCCATGTTCCTTCTGGTTTGCTCACTCTGATGAAATCCTCAGGTGTCAGCCAGAAGTCTTTTGTTCTTATGCATCTCCCACAACGCCCTGGAATAACAACACTGAAGCTCTGTACCATAATAAGAGTTTAAGAAACTCTTATAGCTATGCATTACACCAAGAAGTATTTGAGCACTTCAGTCACACATAAATGTCTAAATGTCACTGCAGTAGATATTAAATATCAAACCAAGTGGCACTTGCAAGTAAATGCTGCCAGACCTTCACTTTTCTTCACTGTTGCTCCGAGACTTTTAATCAGCTGTTTTGATGATTTTTGTGACATACTTTGCTTAAAGTATAAGTGTGCTAACTTTCTTAAGAAGAAATAACACTTAGTTTGATATTTTGTATCTGCAATGATATCCAGGCGTTTTTATGTGTGCCTAAAGTGTCCAAACATATTTAACCAACACATAATATATATTAATATATTTGTAGAATTGTTTTTTTTTTTTTTTTTTAAATATATGCCCACTCACACACCTGTGGCAAAGCGATATTTGTGTAGGATGCCAGAGCCAGAACCACAGGTAACAGGTAGGGTTGGACCTTCAAACACGGTCATGTCAATGATATCTTCATCATTCTCATCAACAACTTTGCCATTGTCATCATCGTTCCTGCCATTTGATTCTACAACAAATGCACAAACACTGAGGAAACAGAATATAAAGAATACTGAAATAGAAAACTGCTGACATTAATGAGAGTATTGTCTGGTTATGGGTCACTATTATACTGACCAGAGCAGGAGGGAAACAGCGGTCTCTGACACTGTGAAAATTAAGAGATGCAGGCATGTCAGTGACGGGGAAATGGGAAAAGCTCCCACAACCCTGTTTATCTGAGATTCTGTGTCCTAAACATCTGAGCTAAATCTCTTTTTTAATGTAAAGTCATCATTACAGGATCTAACCTTTCTTTTTATGAGTCTGTCAGCAACAAGTGAGGATTCAGGAGTGTCAATCTGTGCAACAGACAGAGATAATATAATGCCTGTTATTTCACAAAATATATGTTTTGTGGTCATTTTTGTGCTAGTTGGTTACAAAAACAGTCAAACCTGTTTATTCTTAATCTGGCTTTGCTTAAAGGATGACAGACATCCAGCCTATGGATGGAAGATGTGCTCAGCTTATCAACACTGATATGTTATTGTTTTACATGAATTAAAGGTGGGGTATGTATTTTTTCAAAAACGCTTTAGAAAACTGAGTCGGCTGAGTACCAAAACAAACTTGTAGCCAATCAGCAGTAAGGGGCGTGTCTACTCATGATGTAGAGGAGAGAGCGCTCAGTGCACAGGATGGACATTAGCCGAGCCGAGCGACGACAGAAAGATAGAGATGGCAGATAAAAAACAAAAGAGGAAAATGTCTGCGGAACAAACGAAGGCTTACGATAAGGCAAGAAGTAGGACCCGTGTAAATATTGGATCAGTTTTCCAGCGCTGGAGAGCACTCAAGGAGCGGAAGGCCTGCGATCGGACGCCGAGGTTGCTTTGTTTCTTTTTGATAGGTGAGTAACACCGTGTCTACACCGGACGCGATAGTTGTTGCGCAGCGCCGCAACAGCTAAAGTCTGTCTACACTGGACGCGATAAAACGACCGTTGAAAATCATTTGAAATTTCTGTCAATACGTCATAAATAGAACGCAGCAGCAGTTTTTTGTCGGGGATTTGTCGTGTCGTGCTGCACTGCATCCAGTGTAGACTATAGATATGTATATATATATATATATCTATGGTGTAGACAGCATCACTGATTATAATGAGTTCTATAGTATTTTGTCGCGCCGCTCGCGTCCGGTGTAGACAAGGTGTAACACTGGTTTTGCTTTGTTTCACAAAATCTAATCTAAGACTAATCGTTGCCTGGGTTGCGCACGTATATGTGGGGAGGAGCTATCAAAATAGGGGCGAGACCCTTTTGGGGTAGGGGCGTGTTTGTTTTGGTGGTTTGAAATATAATCATTGGCTACCAGAGATTACTTACCCCACTTTTAACACTCAAATATTTAGATTTACATATAATTGAATCATAAAATCAGATTCTGTTAAATACCAACATTATTCATTTTAGCAATAATTGAATGCTAGATATAATTGCACTTGATTGTGGATTATTTGGACCATTTTATGCACCTCTATGAGTTTCTGGAGTGGAAAATTCTCCCAAAAGATGCTGGTCTTCCATTTTTTGCTTCTCTCCTTTCCTCCGAACCTCTCAAATTCGTTGGGCTTGAACCACTGGCCTTCACTGAAGATGCACTTCTCCACTGAAAACAGATACATATTTATTCAAGCAATACAACAGAGTAAGAGTTTTGAATATGTCTAGATGCTCCAGAAATGTTTTCAAGACATTCTTCAACAAGTGACTCTTCACATGTATATAAAACTTAACTGCAATCCTTAATTGTCTGCACCTACTGTCATTATATTTCACCACATGCAGGACGCCGTCTTTATCTCCACATGTGACAGGAAGTTCAGATTTGTTTCCAAATTTTTGTCTGAAACACAGGCTGGAGTCTGAAACAAATATCACACAGATCTGCTCTATTAAACAAATTTACCAGTTCCATTAAAACCATTTTCCCCCCCCGTTTATCTGAACAATATATATATTGCTTTGCCATTTAAATTTAAACTGAGCTTTAAATCAAACACATTACAAATAGAGCAGTGTTAATGAAACTACATCTTCAGAATTCATCTAATTTTGTAATGTCATTACTGAAATATACTGTACTTTGGAAAGCGCTGTTGTTCTCACTCAGACTGTCAGATCCTGTGCTGCTCTCAGGATCAAATTCTGATTCAGATTCTGAGCCAGACGTTGTCTCTATGGGAACTTTGGTACCTTCGGCTTGTCTCTTCTTGGTTGTACAGTTACGTTTTTTCATTTTCCTTTTTTTCCCTAGTTTTACTTCCTTTGCGCTGTTGTTCTCACTCAGACTGTCAGAACCTATGCTGCTCTCAGGATCAAATTCTGATTCAGATTCTGAGCCAGACGTTGTCTCTATGGGAACTTTGGTACCTTCGGCTTGTCTCTTCTTGGTTGTACAGTTACGTTTTTTCATTTTCCTTTTTTTCCCTAGTTTTACTTCCTTTGCGCTGTTGTTCTCACTCAGACTGCCAGATCCTGTGCTGCTCTCAGGATCAAATTCTGATTCAGATTCTGAGTCAGACGTTGTGTCTATGTCCAACTCTCCTTCCATGTCCTGTGGTTCTCTGAAAAACATGTAACATTGATTATACATTTTTTTCAGAGGAAACCATCATACTTTGCACTTTTAAACATGATCAGGTGAACTTGCTTTCTGTTTATGTAATGATGAATCAAAATATGTTACAAAGATGAGCATGATATGAGAAATGAAACATGAACATGTCTATAAACAGTAGTTTACCGATAAAGGAAATGTTTATGTTGAAATGAAATAATTTCAATATAAGGGAAAATACAAAAATTGACTTATGGACACTGTAAAAAGCTCTGATTTTAACATTAAAATGTATAATACAACAAATGTACATGTAGTTACACATTGAACATATTGTTAAATATAAAATATAAATGTATTAGAGTATTAGTATTATATCATTTTACAGTAAGGTTGCATTTATTCTCTTTTTTTTATCTCTATACTGTACTCATTTAAAGTTGACATCATATTCTCTGCATTATTGTAGCTGCATGAAGCAAACCGAATTCTCCATGCTGTTTTGTTTGCAAAAAAAAAAATCCAAGTCACATATGAAATATTAGATACACTCCATACATTATAATGAGACTGAAATCTAATGAATATTCAAAGTTTCTCTCATGCTGAAACAAAACTGAAAGTTGCTTCCTGGACTGTTGTTTTGAAATCTGCGTGACAGATGAATAGAAACCACAGACCAGAAAATATTCACAACATTAAACTTCAATTTACTAATGAATTAATGTACTTACCCTGCTGTGTTCATGACTTGCTCCCTGTTTTCCTAGTTTCCTCTCTCTCTTACGTGCAGTTTATTACGTACACAGGGTAATCTCCTTTCCTTTAACATACTCCACCTAACCACACCTTGCAGCAGGCGTGCCTACCTAATGCGTCAATGAGAAACTATTCCACTTGCTCACGTTACTCTAGTAAAACTCCTCCCCTTCATTACACAAGAGTGCACATACAGGGACTTTGATCTACTGTATTTGCCTGATACACACTGACACAGAAATATAACTGAAATTGTCTGCTCTATTTTCAATATTGTAATTTGTTTTTTTTTAAAAACTGTAAATGATTAAGTGATATACCATTTATTTTCTGGGCTTTTGTACTGCAGGATCTGTAGCATCAGTGGGAGGTGCAGGTGAATCTTGGGGAAGATAGTGATAGACAAAGACATCTAATTTAATTTTGGCATCACTCACTTAACTATATAAATAGGAATATTTAATGGTCATCGTATTCAAACCAACCCACTTAACATGAGCATTAGTTCAACACCGATTCTTCATAGTCTAATAAAAAAAAACAATCAATTGTAAGACTGAAAAGTCTCATAATAAGATAATTAAATCATGTTAGAAGGAAATAACTGATCTCACTAACCTCTATCATTCCCAGTAGATCCTATAAATTCTGTGATCTTTTTACTGACAGTTTCAGTTGAATTCACAGGTTCCCTCCTGTTCTGTGGTGAAAAGAAATTAGGAGATATAAGTAATATTTGGTAACACTTTATTTTAGGGTCTCTTAACTAGTTGCTTATTAGCATGCATATTACTAGAATATTAGCCATTTATTAATACTTATTAAGCACATATTAATGCTTTATTCTACATCCCTAATCCTACCCAATACCTAAACTTAACAACTACCTTACTAACTATCAATAAGCAGCAAATTAGGAATTTATCGAGGGAAAAGTCGTAGTTAATAGTGAATAAGTGTTCCCTATTCTAAAGTGTGACCCTAACTTCTTTTAACTGAAAGTAAAGGAAGCCGGCTAGAAAAGCCACTAAATGTCTCATGCGCTAATTAGCATATTCATGACGCAATTGCATCATATTGCCTTTCACATTTGTATGCCTCTCTGTGCTTACTGCTTACAGACTGTATTTTAATGCAGCCAAATTCTCAATAAAACTGTTTTGCTTAATGGAACTTAATTATTTTTGAAAATAGGCTCATTTTCCAACTCCCCTAGAGTTAAACAGTTGAGTTTTACCATTTTCTAATCCATCCAGCCGATATCCGGGTCTGGCGGTAGCACTTTTAGCTTAGCTTAGCATAGATCATTGAATCCGATTAGACCGTTAGCATCTCGCTCAAAAATGATTGGCTAATAAACCTTTGAGATGTAACTTCTGTAATATTTGATTCTTCATGCTTACCAGGACTTAAAACACTACAATATTTTTTTTTTTTATTGAAATCGCTGCTCCTCTCAGTCACTCACTGAACAGAGCAGACACAGAGAGAGGTGTGTGCGCGCTGGCAAAGCAAGACCTCGCACTTGTGCAGGCTGTACCGACGAGTCTCAGAAACGAAATAAGGTTTGTTCAAGAAGTTCCCAAGATTTGTCACTAGGCACTTTTTTGTAAAAAAAAAAAGTCGCTAAAGGGGTCTGAAAAGTCGCTAAATCTAGCGTCAAAGTCACAAAATTGGCAACACTGCAAGGAGGGGGCGTGCATAACTAAAGAGGATGTGTGGGATTTTTTGGTATTATTGGTGGTATTTGAATCATCCTTCATGTTTTAAATAATTCACATAAACTAATGTTTAATTAACAAGAAAGTAGCGGCGCCATGTAAAGTCGTAGAGTTGCTGAACTCCTCACGAGGAACTTCAAATTGAATTTATATCGCTCTTATTTTAAACATCAGTGCGCTAAATCTGCCGTTATTGGATATTAAGTGCCTAATGATCGGAGACCTGCTGTTTCTAACATAGTTTGACTTTTCAAGCAAGAGGAACAAGAGCTGGAGCAACCGCAGAGAGGTAGAATCTGCTACTAGACATCATGCTAATGCTAACTCGGAACTGCAAACGGCCTCAAAGAAATAAACGGTCTCAGCAAGTGACAACTGCGCAGTTCTCCAATCAATAAACTCACTCAAAGAAGACTTGATTGCAAAAATCGAAGAAAAGGCCACTGCTCAATCAGATGAACTCTGCATCCAAATCGACCAGCTCCGGACGGAGTTACGATTCAAAATTCACTAAAGCTCTGGTTTCCTGACCTTAATACCGTTGATGACTGTGCCGAAGGGGTCCTCTGGTGGTATTATTGAGAAGTTTTTGCGATGGCCTTTAGTAACATAGGTGGAGCAGAGACAAGCCTTGTCAGTTGGAACGTGCGGGGGCTTAATCACCCAGTGAAGCCAAACCAGGTTTTCACACATCTTAATAAATTGTCATCTGATATAATATATTTGCAAGAGACTCATATGCTGAACAAAGACCGTCCTAAACTTCACAGAGGAGGCTTTACGCAAATTTTCCATTTGAATTTTAATAGCAAAAGCAGGGGAGTTGCCGTACTTATACAAAAGAATGTACAGTTTGTAGAGGAGGTAACAATGAAGGATAAAAATGCCATATACATAATAATCCAGGGTAAACTTATCAACCTGCCTGTTGTCCTGGCCAATGTGTACAAACCTAATTGGGTATATAATCTATATTTTAGGTGGTGATTTGAATTGTGTCCTACACCCAGTTTTGGAAAGCTGTAGCTCTACAATCAATACAGCATGTAAGTCAGCGCATTTATAAAATTCATAGATGCTCAAATTTATTTATTTCTTGACAAAAAAAACTGAGATAAGTTATAGCATTCTATGGGATACTCTGAAAGCTTATGTGAGGAGAACAAATGATTTCATATCGAGTGCAAATAAAAAGAAATCAAAGCGGATTACAGAAATTATGAATAAAATAAATACGATTGATAAAACTGCATAAGGAAATAAGGACTGCAAGGACTTCTTTTACAAGTTGAATTTGACTCTCTGATCAGCAAGCATGCGGAAGATCTTCACTTGAGATCACGCCAGATTTAATATGAGCATGGTGAGCGAGCTGGCCGGTTTTTGTGTTACCAATTGAAACTGTAGCATCTAATTCTATAGCAGCAATCAGAATCTGTGATGGCAACATTATTACTGATCAACAGGGAATCAATGAGCAGTTCAAATTCTTTTATGAAACTCTTTACAATTCTGAGGTGTATGACACTGAACGAATAGATAGGTTTTTTAACTATTTAGAATTGCCATCCCTCAGGGACTCAGATAAATCTGCTCTAGAAGGAAATATAACCATTTGTGAGGTTGATTGAGGTGCAATTAAGAAACTAAAATCTGAAAAAGCGCCAGGTCCCAACGGTTATCCGGCACAGTTTTATAAGAAATATTTCGGTCAATGAATACAGTAATCAACATTTGAAGTGGACCAAAAAAGTTGATCAAAGTTGTCCTAAGACAAGAACACATTTTAGGACAACTTTGATGAAAGGTTTTGATCCACTTCAAATGTTGACTACTGTGTACTAGGCCCCAAGCATCTATTCGAACTAATAATATTATTTCTAAGTGCTTTCCACTCTCTAGGGGGACAAGGCAGGGTTGCCCTCTGTCCCCCCTGCTTTTTGAGATTCCCATTGAACCTCTCACAATCTTGTTAAGAAATATGGATGGTTTGCCTGGAATACTCAAGGAGGGACATGAGCATAAGCTTTTGCTTTATGCTGACGATCTCCTCCTCTTCTTATCTAATCCAGATTCCTCAATATCAAAGGCCCTTACAATTATTTCAGATTTCGGAAATGTTTCGGGGTACAAAATTCATTTAGCAAAGAGTCTTCTTTTCCCTATCAATCAAAGAGCACAGGTATAACAATTTTGTTAATAAAGCAAATCTTTCCCATGAACTGCCAAAATACAGACAGCATGTTAGATGTCCCACCAGAGACAGTAATATACTGGACCATTGTTACTCCACAATAAAGGATGCATATCACTCCATCCCCAGGGCAGCTGTGGGACTCTCTGACCACTGCCTGGTATCTTATACCAACTTACAGGCAAACTACAATCAATACAGCATGTAAGTCAGCGCATTTATAAAATTCATAGATGCTCAAATTTATTTATTTCTTGACAAAAAAAACTGAGATAAGTTATAGCATTCTATGGGATACTCTGAAAGCTTATGTGAGGAGAACAAATGATTTCATATCGAGTGCAAATAAAAAGAAATCAAAGCGGATTACAGAAATTATGAATAAAATAAATACGATTGATAAAACTGCATAAGGAAATAAGGACTGCAAGGACTTCTTTTACAAGTTGAATTTGACTCTCTGATCAGCAAGCATGCGGAAGATCTTCACTTGAGATCACGCCAGATTTAATATGAGCATGGTGAGCGAGCTGGCCGGTTTTTGTGTTACCAATTGAAACTGTAGCATCTAATTCTATAGCAGCAATCAGAATCTGTGATGGCAACATTATTACTGATCAACAGGGAATCAATGAGCAGTTCAAATTCTTTTATGAAACTCTTTACAATTCTGAGGTGTATGACACTGAACGAATAGATAGGTTTTTTAACTATTTAGAATTGCCATCCCTCAGGGACTCAGATAAATCTGCTCTAGAAGGAAATATAACCATTTGTGAGGTTGATTGAGGTGCAATTAAGAAACTAAAATCTGAAAAAGCGCCAGGTCCCAACGGTTATCCGGCACAGTTTTATAAGAAATATTTCGGTCAATGAATACAGTAATCAACATTTGAAGTGGACCAAAAAAGTTGATCAAAGTTGTCCTAAGACAAGAACACATTTTAGGACAACTTTGATGAAAGGTTTTGATCCACTTCAAATGTTGACTACTGTGTACTAGGCCCCAAGCATCTATTCGAACTAATAATATTATTTCTAAGTGCTTTCCACTCTCTAGGGGGACAAGGCAGGGTTGCCCTCTGTCCCCCCTGCTTTTTGAGATTCCCATTGAACCTCTCACAATCTTGTTAAGAAATATGGATGGTTTGCCTGGAATACTCAAGGAGGGACATGAGCATAAGCTTTTGCTTTATGCTGACGATCTCCTCCTCTT